TAATTGTCAAACAAAATAATTGAATTAGCCGCAACTTTATTTTTTAATTGAAATTGCTCAATTTGATTGTTAGAAAAAATATTTTCAAAAGAAATAAATAAATGATTTTTTAAATATTTTTATCCTTAAATCAGCCGTATTTTGTTTTGTTAAATAAAACCTGCTAATCAAAACATATGTATTAGGCTATTAGCCGATTATACAGAAAAAAAGTTTCCGATATTCTTAAAATACAAAAGTATATTTTTATGGTTAGAAAAATAGCACGTAACTTTTTTTATTATTAAATCAGCTGTAACTTTTTTATTATAAAAAAGATGCCAAACAAAACAATTGTATTAGGCGAATATCTGGTTTTAAATTTGGAGAATATAATTCTCGATGTTTAATTGAATTAGCAGTCGTGACGAACATCTATATTCAAATTTAAAAATAGCTTTTTGTAACCAATAACTAAATTTAATTGATGCAATCCGTGCATTATCAGCTTTTGATATGCATATCGTGTCAAATCATCACAAATATTTAATAGACTAAATTTAAATGACAGTCTAACTTTTTTTAAAATAAAAAGTAACAAACTCCTCATTTTAAGGACAACATTTAAAAAAAAATATTAAAAAAATACTATAAATGGCATGTAATTAATGCTGACCAGTTTTGACTAAGGATGACTTACTGTTCTTGATAAATAATAATTCTTTATATATATATATATATATATATATATATATATTTCTATTGGATTAATTAATAAATTTGAACAATAAGGTAACAAATAAAAAATTAAAAAACAGCGAGATGTATATATATTTATATATTATATATATATAATAGAATATATATATATATATATATATATATTAAATAAGAATTTATTAGTGTAGTCCAAATTTAGATTAAAATTAAAAGTCAAATTAATATTGGTAAGTATTCATAACTTATGGGTCAATATTAATTTGGACGTAAATAGAATAGTGAATTATTTATAAAAATGATAATTATTCATTTGCCTAAATTGTTTTATTTGGATAGTTTATACAAAAGAAAAAAAAAAATTATAATTATACTTATTATTCACATATATCTTTAAATACAAGATAAAAGTAGTCTAATAGAATTTCTAAATAAAAAAATTTATAATGACATTTATTTTGAAATGAATATAATGTAATTTATTATCAGTTACGTGCACCATACGAGTTGTGTACTAATTTTAAATAGACATGATTTATGTAATTTTAGACAATTTAAATTTCATATAATATTTTTTAATAAATTAACATTAATAAATTGTATTATATATTGATTCAATATTTTTAATTTAGAAATACTATTTAATGAATATTTTTTTTAATTTATAAATACTAATGAGTATTTTTACTCGTGTTGGTTACTCTTATATAACTCGCAACAAATATTCTATGTATTTATTGTAGGACACGTATCAGTACACTATTTATGAATAACTACGAGTAGCTTCATAAATCGTGTCATCTGATGTCTCCATAGCAATACATGGCTGGCAAATACCTCTTACATATTTGCGTCGATTTTCAGCAAAAGATTCCCCGTGGCAATTCAAGTCAAAGAGATAAGAAAAAAAAAAGCTATCCCCCCACGTTCTCACCAAAGACCAAAAATTGCATTCTTTGAAATTGTCCCTAATTAATAATTGCTCAAACAACACTATTTATATGCCCTCCACATCTTCTCACCAATCAATCCATTCCTTGTACAATCAATCCTTCCCCACAAACCAAACAACAACTAAAATTCTGACCAAACAATCCAGAATGGATAAGCCGACCGGGCACAAAGGCTTGCGGTCCAGATTCCACACGAGTTTTTCCAAGAAGACAAAACACGCGAGTAGTTCTCACTATGGGCCCGATGAAGAAGAAGAAGAAATGGTTACGAAGTCGACGAGAAAAGCCCAAACACTGTTTGGGCTTTTCGAGAGGAGGCCGAAGAAGAATAAGGCGAAAGCAAAGCCCGATTTTTCGAGGTATACGGAGAGCATAAAGGAAGTAGGGACTATGGACATGAGGGCTAAAATGCCGGTTGTGTTTGGTGATCAAGTTTGTTTTTATTAGTTAGTTCAAGATTATCAGTTGTTCTTTTTCTTTTTTCTTTTTTTTTTTCAAGTTTTTCATTCGGCACGAGGTTCTGTATGAATCTAGCTAGATTTCATTTTTCTTTGTTTTGAACCCGGCCCGGACATGGCATGTGGTTATTTATCCATAGTTTTAATAATAATAATAATAATAATAATAATAATAATAATAATAATAACAATATTGTTAGTTTGATTTTGTGGTTTTCTTGAGATTTCATTAATTGGTCGCTTTGTACTGATCTATGTCATGCTCCCTTACTCACGGTCGACACATGTTAATATGACCATCGTTTATGTGGCATGCACACATTGGTGATGTTAATATATTTTAAAAAATACATCACCAATGTGTGCGTGCCACATAAACGGGGGCATATTAATATGTGCCTACTGTGGATAGTGGAGCATTATCCTGCACATTGGATCGCACTTGTTAACGTGATTTTTACGAATTAAGGCCTTTAAACTTTCTCATTGTGTCTCATGCCATAACATGAGTCCTAATAATTTAGGTTATCACATTTTCAACCTCTTTTTCCACTGCATGAGTATATTAAATCTAGGGATGAGTATGGGTCTGTATAGTTCGGATCTTAACAAATCTCCGGAATCGTACTGAAATTCAGAGATTACAAAGTTTCGATCTTTGGAACCGTACAAAAATCGGGACGGTTCAGTTCGAAAATTTTATTTTTCGATTCAGTTCGGTTCGGTATTCGGGACTATCGAGATGATTCGATTCGGATGTTCGGAGTTTCTATTTATTTTATAATTTTTTTAAATGATTACCTAGTTATATTTTATTTTTATATGTTTTAAAAAAAAATCCAGCATTCATCAAAGCTTCATCATATTTAAAATTTTATTTGAAAATCAATTTTAGAAGTAACTCTAAATTTTAGTTAAGACTAAATTTAGACAACTAACATTGAAAATTTAAAATTCAGACAAAATATAATGTAGCTTTCTTAAAATAACATTTCTTGACCCTTAAATACCTTTTTAATGATAAGATATAATAAGAATAAGAAAAGTATTGACAAATTTAAGTAAAATTTAAATATTTCTTTAATATTTTATACCATTTTAAATAATTTTCTTAACAAGAAAAAAATAATTATAGATCAAATATTACTAAGCATGAAATTTTAGTAAATCTTAATTAGGTGTTGTTACAATATTTTATTTGCATTTTAAAAATTCTCAAATTATGTAGGATCAAAGTTGACATAAAATATATATTAATAACACACATCTAATATTATAATTTATTTTTTTGGTTATGTACAGTATGAGACGGTTCGATTCAGTTCTCGGTACGAATATATGTGAAATCTCTAGAACGTATCAATTATTATTTCGGTTCGTTTTGAAGAAAGTCAAACGGTGAATGATTTTTTTTTTTTCAGTTCAAAGTGATTTCGATTCAGTTAGAAATTCTCCGAGATTCATGCTCAATCAGAATTAAATAATCCACCGAAAGGAGACATAAAAACATGAATGTAATTAGGTTTGATTTTCGAGACTAATAAGTAAGATATATCATGTTCAACTTTGGGTTTGAAAATTTGGTGCATAAAGTGGACATTATTATGGTTGATACATTGTCAAGCTATCACATGATATCAAGGTTTCATGAATTT